ATAGGAAGACACTAAAGAATGTGAAGTGGGATAAGATATGGTCATATGAGTGTCTTTGAAAGATCATTCTCATTGAATGTGAACAGATTATGGGCAATATAAAAATGTTTGACATTAGTGCTGCAAGGTGATGATAATGGATTTGATTAGAATCCTAGTGGTAGACATAAAGAGAAGTAAATAATAAATAGGGATTTCAGACATATGCAACATGTGGTTCAGAAAGTTTGGTCTGGATTTTAAATACTTGGTAGAGAAAATTGGGTTCCTTACTTCTTTTGTAAGAATCTTGAATTTGGAAGTACTTATTTCTTTCACTTGATCTTAGCCAAAAGGCCAAGAAGCAATTGTACTTATTTCTTTCAGATAGAATGCAGATATTCAGCTCCCAGAAGGGAATTTGATACAATATTCATGCTGACTGTCAGCCACTTTTGTTAGCTGGTGAGGTGTCAGGCCCTCTGCGAAAAAAACTTTTTTTTTGTACCTGATGATCAGTTTCCGTTTTGTGTTGTAAGTTCTTTGCCTATCATATAGTCCCATAGTTTTGTGGTTTTGAGAGTGTGTTTCACGATGAAGGAATATTAATATATACTTGGAAAATGTTTCATTGAGCAAATATAAACTGATTTTGATTTTGCAAGACATCTTTGAGTCACCACTGTGACTCAAAACACAGGTTGTATGAGGGAGATACAGTAATGACACATTTCCTTAATTATTTGAACATAGGCAATTCCTCCAAGATCATCTTTATAACTTGTACTTTATAAATTATTTTTAGGCAACTCTTTGTTAAATGACAGTCTCTTGTTCCAAGCAGTACCTTTTATTCAATAGTTTAACATGACTTAAAAAAACAAAGTGGGGGTGCCTGAGTGACTTAGTCAGTTGAGTGTCGACATTTAATTTTGGCTCAGGTTATGATCTCACAGGTTGATGAATTCAAGGCCCATATCTGTGCCGTCAGCACAGAGCCTGCTTGGGCATCTCTCTCTCTCCCTGTTTCTCTGTCTCTCCCCTGCGCTCTCTCTCTCTCTCTCTCTCTCTCTCTCTGTCTGTCTCCCTGTCTCTCTCTCTCTCAAGTAAATAAATAAGCATTAAAAAATAGCCACATGGTCTTTCCCAGGAGATTCCATAAGATTTGTCTGGAAATATTTAAATGTTCATATACTTTACAGGATGTTAAATCTTGAGCAAACTGGCATGTGCCACTTATAATCCTTTTGCAGTGACCATTTAGGACAAGTTTATCATATATTTAGCTGGTTAATTTCCATATTTGTGGTGGCATTTGTTCATATTGTGTATAGTGCATTATGTTTGGATTTAGGGTGAAGGCAGCATTCAGAAGGAGGGTGAGCAATATCAATCTAGTCTTTCAGATTATAATCAATGATCTAGCCATAGTAGTATGTGGAAAAATAGTTAAGGATAGGGAGGGAAAGGGGTTTTCTTGTTTCTTCTACTCACTGCTTCCTATCCTTACCTAAATTACTATCATTATTACCTAAGATCCTGAATACAGTTATCACTTATGTAAAACTTTCTGGCCTGAGTCCACATTTTGGAAATCTAAAGCAATCAAAACATTGACCTCTACTTCTAACCCATTTTTTAAAAATAATTTGCTGCCCCTGGTAGTCATATAATTTCTCTAAGATATATCTGACTACCTGCCTTTAAGATATATACAATGAATACGTAAGAGATGTCTTTATGACATCTTTATGTATTTCTTCTCTTGGTAATTAAAGATAAATGTATACCAAAGATTCCAGAAATACACATTAAAAGCAACAAAGTGTAAATAAAAATGATGGTGTTGGCAATGATGCTGATACTCACTGAACAACCCATACTCATTGAATTGCAGGCTAAGTGTTCCATGCAATGGCAGGAACATAATAAATGATGTATAAATGCTAGTCATTATCACCATGCCTGTTTAATTCTTCTAATTCAATTTTGTATGATAATCTAAAAGTTATAAACCCATTTGACTTATAACTCAATTTATAATCTTGAAGAGAGAATGAACCAAGTATGATTAGTCAGGATACAAAAAAAAAAAAATCAAGATTGGTTAAGCTAAAGTTATTTTAAATATGAAACATAATTTCCTATCTCTTTTAGCATCTCCTTCATCTAATAAAACCTGCGGCTGGCATCATTACATGCATGACAAAGTGAACACACACACACACACACACAAATATATCCCTAGGGCTTTTTGTAAACACTTGCTTCAGAGGATTCTTAAGCATTTGCTCCACAGTTTGTCCTTCCAAAAAAGAAAAGAGGAATCTCCAATTTCAAAGATTTTGAAGCAACAGAATATTCTGGTTTATATTCAAAGGTAATTTCTAGGGATGGGCATGGAGGAGGACGCTTGTGGGGATGAGCACTGAGTGTTATGTGGAAACTAATTTGACAATAAACTATTTGTAAAAAATTAAAAAAAAACAACAACAAAAAAACAAAGGTAATTTCTATTCTTACAGACCATATTTGGAGACTGGCAATATGAGACTGGGAAACCTCTATTAGAAGGTACTGAACTGAGGAAAATGCATGTGTTCATGTACCGAGCAGATAAAAATAATGTCAGTGCTTAGGTTTATTTCATTCTATACAGCTACTCTTACCCCTTAATAGTTTTCCAGCATAATGAATTCCAAATTTGGCACTAGAATTGGGAAGTACTGTGCCCAGAAGATGAAAAAAATCTGTACTATGAAAGTGAGAAGAGTTTGAAGTGAAAATATTTTTGACCAAGGGAGACACTGCTTTTAATCATAGCACCGCAACTTAATAGCTAGGGTAACTTTGGTGGTTAGTAGTCTTGGATCCTAAGTTTCCTCATATGCAAAATAGGTTTAAGGATAATTCGATTTCAAAGTCACAGCCAGCTACTGAAATAATACGCATAAGCTGCATGCCACATAAGCACTCAGTTACTGAACACCTATTATGTACCAAGACACAGTCCTAATGATGAGGAATCCCAAGTGAGCAAGATAAATATATTTCCTGGATATACATTTCCTAGGCATGCAGAAAGAAGCCCAAAAAACAAATATTTTTCAAATACATAGTGTCAGAAATACAGATTGAGAAACACTCAGAATAATTGGCTTATACTCTTCACAGATACCAAGAAGAGATAAAGATTGAAGAGCTTTTTCACCATAGAAACCTAAAGAACAAGAAAACTACATGTAGTGTATGATCTCAGATTAGGAAAGAGGAGAAATGGCTACACAGGGCAATATTGGAATATTTGACGAATCCAAATGTGAACTGTGGATCTGGTAATATTATATCAATGTTAAATTTCCTGATTTTGATAACTATTCTATGGTAAGAATGGTAGTTCCTTGCTCTTAGGAAAGAGACACTAAAATATAGAGGAATAATGGAGCAAAATGTTTCCAACAAGTCTCAAAAGACTCAAAAATATGGAACGAAAAAGGGAGGAAGGATACAAAGGCTACAATAAAGCACTTGGGGAAAATGCAAATAATAATGAGTCTATGCAAGAGTTCAATGCACTATCCTTAAAACTTTTCTGTCAGTTTGAAATTTATATATAACCAATACACAGGCATTTTGACTGAGCAAAGGGAGAAAGTAATTCAACAAGTATCATTCCCTGTTTTCTTTGCCTTGGAACCTGACTTTCTAGAGTGAACTGTGCTAATCTTATTTAGAATTCAGCAGTAGAAATTGAGAGTTACACTTTATATGTCCTCTATATTGAGTAGTACAGTTCTACCTCAATGGGTTTGATGAATTCAATAATTGTAAAGTACAGGACTTTAGGTAGAATTATGTTACTGATTTGAATGAGTTGAAAAACAACCCTGAACACCTGGCACATTTCCTAAAGCTGGTGTTTTATTGGGAAAACAAGCTCAATGTGTAGGGAGCACAAACAGCATATTGGCATTTCAAAGCTAAGGAATTAACATCACCTTCGTGTCTCCTAACAAGTGAGAGAAATGAAGAACTGTAGTTTAGTAAAGAGGAATTTGTGGTTTTCAATTTAATTACTCAAGCATTTCTTGGACTGGGTCAAATATTCAATGTATAGCACATGCTTTAAAATCAAAACTGTTCATTATATTCATTTCCTGATTACTCAAATTAATAGTGTCACACATAAACCCATTTGTGTCAACTAGAAGGTTTACTTCTGAATTATTAGAATAAGTGTGCATGCACATGTATGTGAATATTTGGGTTTGTATACATGTTGTAGAGCAGAAAACTATGTATACAAATCTAAAGTAACATATTCTCACAGATAAAAATGTTTACAGTATGTGAAAAATAAGGCAAAATAATTTTGTAAAGTACTATACATTGGTTTTATGAAGAAAATTTGTACCTTTGACTTGTACAAAGCAAGCACCTGTAAAAATACAAAATCTAGAAGTACTGTAATGGTTATTTATTTTAAGTTTTTCTGCTTTGGCATTGTTGGTCTTTTGACCTATTTCACTCATGGGCAAGGAAATAGTATCTCATCCATTTTCCCCAAATTCCTTAAAATTCCATAATGTGAAGACAATTCACTTCTCCCACATGTTGTATTGTCTTAAATGCTTTATCTTATTACCATGTGAGTATTTATTCTAAAATGTAGGATAAATAAAAATGCAAGCCTAGAACTTTCACTTTGAATTACATTAAGGTTTCATATAGCATGAGAGAGCTGCCTGTGTAGCCGTTTTTGAAGAGCCAGCCCCTGGAGAGAAGGAAATTTTATGGAGGTAAGCCAGATTTTCTGCACAACGGCTTTCTCTTTTGGACATTTATTGATTTTTGACATACACCAAGATGTGACTAAGCTGGGTAGAGAAGTGGCTAAGCATCCTAAAATACAAAACAGCTTTTGGTAACTTCATATGTTTGGGGAAACAAGAATTGGAGCTCTGGTACAACAAAGCATCTAGAACTTGATTGACCAAAATTCCACTGATGAATAAGGTTCACAGAAGTGAGACTGGCACTCAAGACCTGTTGTTTCATTGGGTCATTATCTGATTAAGCTACACAGGAGATGATGCAAAGGAGCCAAGCAGTAAGTGTGTGAAAAGCAACCAAATATGACTAAAAGAGTCGTGTGGTGTTCTCAGCATTTCTACCATGTTCAAGAGACCAAAATTCAAGACCTCTGAGAAGGAGTGGCCTTAGTAAACACTCCAGGCTCTAACTGGGATCTCTGGAGGGGATATACCATGTGAGGAAAGCTAGAGCGGACTAAACCATGCCAAGACTGCAAACTAGTGTCAAGTTAGTTCCGGATCTGAATGGACTTAGTAATGTGTCTCTTTATGGCGTGCCAAGGGATAGGGTAAATCATTGCTAACATTCTTCACACATAATATTGACAGTGAAGCCAAAATTTCTTGGGATATTAAGAAAAAAGACCAGAAGAAAAAAAAAAAAACAGGCAATACAAAGTGACACAAATAATACAGTTATGAAATTTTTAAGGAACTGTGATTAATAACTGTAAGCAAATAGATGACCAAGTAGAAAGTTTTAACAGAAAATAAGAAAAGAATCAATTGGAAAAATTTAAACTAAAAAGTACTGTATTTGGCATCATAGCATGATAAATGGGACACAGCTGAAGAGATGAATGAACTGGAAGACAGATCAATACACAACTTCTAGACTATAACACAGAAGGCAAAATAGATGGAAAGTACAGAGAGAAGCACGTGAAACATATTATGTAACAGATGAGCCCAAAACATGCATTATATGTTTCATATCTGTATTTCTTACAATAATTCCAAAATTTCCATCAACAGTAGAATGAATAACTACATGTTGGGATGTTCATATCATAGAAAACTATTTAGTGTTGAGAAATGAACCATTGCTACGCACAAAAATATTGAATCATTCAACCATCATATTATATAAAAGAAACCATATACAAAAGAGTACATGCTGCATGGTGCCATTTACATAGAACTCAAAAATGGGTGAAATGGATCATTATTATCAGAGAGGGGTTAATTACCGGAGCTGCTGGGGATGCTGTGAGTATTCTTCTTCTTTACTCAAGAAGGGGTTACACAAGTGTATCTGCTTTGGGAAAACCCGCTGTACTGTGCACTTATGATCTGTATGATTTTGTGTATGTATGACAAACTTCAGTTAAAAAATATTCTAAACAATTAAAGCCTAAGTATATTAAAGTTAAAATTAAGATTAAATTTCTGAGGGATGAGTCATTTTCATTCTCCCACAGCTAAGAAAGTTTATTTGGACATTGATTGCCTTTGGCTTTCAAAGAATGCAAGGAATTAATCAGGAGACAATATCAAAATATGAAAAAAATAAACCTAATAGGAGGTGCAGGGAGGATGTGTGTATATCTGAAAGATGACTCAGTAGCTCTGCATGTCCTTAAAAAAAGAATAGAGTAGAGCCTGCTGGAGACCAAACGAACTGTCCCAGCAATTTGTCTCCCTCTTGCAATCCAGCAGACCTAGGGATAGTTGATGTAGTTGAAGGCAAGAATCAGAAATATCAGATATTAATAATCATACTACTATTGAATTTATATACTAATAATAAATCCAAGTGTGAAAAGTACACTTATCTTGATGAGAACTGGATAATATATGGAATTATGGAATCACTATATTGTACACCTGAAATTAATACAACCCTATATATTAACTACACTGGAATGAACATTTATTTAAAAAAAAAAGTATTTCCAGTCTTTTTCCAATCTTCTTGCCAAATAACAGATTATTTTTTTCTCTGTATGTTTTTTATTTGTTGTTGTTTGTTTATTTGCTTTTCACCATTTCTAGACATAAAATATCCCAAACTTATTTGGCGCTTCTTTCCTTTATACTCTTTTGATAAGGATTTCTTGATTCTAGACACTGATTTCCTTGACAGCAGGGTTATTTCTTACTTGGTTATGTATCTATATTTCCTAATCAAGCACCCATCAAAGAGTAAGTACTAAACATATGTGTGGTGTGTGTTACTATGATAAATTAAACCCAGGATTTAAATTCGGGCTGATATTTAGTATTTTCAATATGGTACATGTTTTGCATTGTTTTTCCTGAGAAGAGAAGAAAATAACCCAGGAACTATGCCATCTTTGGCAAACGTATTTTAGGATGCATTTGTGCTGCTGTGATTTAAAATCTTGCTAAATTTTCTCTGAGATTAGAGCTTTTGCCTGTGATTTGGCACATATGTTTATGTGGATCATATGTTTATGATCAGCTTTTACATTTGTCTCAAGACCAGGCTGGATATTAGTAAAAATCTCCATGTACCTTTTTATCCGATTACTGTTTTGTAAGTACAAAGCATGTCCACTAATTATGTCTCTAGATGGCTCCCCACAAATGTAATGGGAAGAAAATCACAAATTGGCAAATTAACACTTTAAAAAGCCTTCCTGGGAGCGAGGCTACATGGAATGTGAAACCCACCTTAACGAGGTCAGTGTGACCACAAATGTTTTCTACACAAATGACCTCAATTCTATAAAAATACCCTAGAGGAATTTGAAATGTGTGAAAAAACGAAACATATTTGCTTCATGTTAATATCAAAATTTTAGGTTTTAAAATCTTATTTGCTTTGGATACAACTTCCAACAATCCAGGCTCACCGGCTCCAGTAGCCAATAGATATATTGAGATGGAGAGCAATAGAAAATTTATGTGACTTGGGTGCCTGGGTGTATCGGTCAGTTAAGCATCCAACTTCAGCTCAGGTCATATCACAGTTCATGAGATAGAGCCCCACGTCGGTCTCTATGATGACACCTCAGAGTCTGCTTTGGATTCTGTGTCTCCCTTTCTCTATGTCCCTTTCCTGTTCGTTCTCTCTCTCTCTCTCTCTCTTTAAAATAAATCAATATAAAATAAAATGTAAAGAAAATAGTTGTGACAGTCTCTAGTACATGCCCATCTTCTTTTTCAATGGTCACTATGACCTAATGATAGCTCATTGATGATTCATTTGCTTGAAAAATTTTCTGAACTAGGTCCAACATTACAAAAATGGTGCACAGGAAGTATTTTGTCACTACTCTATACAACTGCATCAAAAAGAAAGAGAAAAAAATTCTATGCTGTCATACTATGTACACTTAATCCCATACATCACTATTAATCATAATCATATAATATTTTTACTATTAAATAAAACCTTAGGGGAAATCTTACCATTGAGATAAGGAACACTGAGGTCTAGAGACTCAGCACCTTCCTCAATAATCGATAGGTAATTAGTAACTAAGTTGAACTACAATTTACTCTGGCCTACAAGAAGGAGTTTTTCCTGTAATATATTTTTTGGAGTAGCTCTTTACAAATGTGATTATGAGGTTTTTTTTTAAAAGGGAGATAAAATAAAGCTCTTATCACACTCCAGTAAAACCTTTACATTCTAACAAGGAAAGTTCAATAATAATTGTTTCTTAGGTCCCTATAACGACTACTATTTTTAGGTACTCATCCTCAGCGGATAGATAAACTGAGAAAAGGAAGAAAGAAGAGTAAAGTATGCAGGAAGACTCAAGATGAAGAGGAGATAGGTAGTCAGAGAAAGAGAGCACCAGGGTGGAAAAATACATACCAAAGCTTAGGACAAAGGAACTCGTTTTGAAAATATTGTATGAATATCAATCGTATATGTTTACATGCAAACTATTGCTGTTGTGGTGGTTCAGATATACGTTCGTAAGTTCTTTAGGGATTCATTTCTGATGAATAAAATATGGTAGAAACGATGGTTCCTGATTTCCAAGACTAGTCACAAAAGGCACGTGACTCTTTTCCTTCGATCTGGAATCTCTCACTAGGTTAAACCAGCTGCCATCTTGTGGGGATAGTAAAGCAGCCTTACAGACAGGCCACTGTGGCAAGGCACTAAGCCTTCTGCCAACAACTGATACTAACGTGCCAGCATGTAAGTCACCTTTGCAATGGATCCACCAGCCCTGGATCAAGCTTTCAGAAAACTGCAGCCCTGGCCAATATCTTGACTATAATCTCATAAGAGATCTTGAACTAGAACCAGTCAACTAAGTCCCTTTTAAATTCCTGACTTCTGGAAACTGTGACATAATAAATCTTTATTCTTTTAAACCATTAAATTTGGGGGTAATTTGTTACAATGCAACAGATAACTAATAATGTTATCATATTGAAGTGAAAAGCAGTGTCACAGAACTCATAAAATCCCATTATTGTGGTACGCCATATGTAACGACTGTTCCTGTAGATTGTGGATCAGCCATTCCATATGGTTCAACCTACAGGACAGGAGCACGACCAAATCGTCCTGATTTGCTCTGGACTTCAGTCTCTCAGGATACTATTGTTCAATGTGTTTGTCCTTTTCTAAATTAAAATCACATGGCAATATAGTCCAGATTTTCTGACACAATGTTGTGATGTAACTGTTGGAAACCAATAATTTGTGGATTACCTCTCACTTTAGACATGTAAATGATAATTATAAGCAAATGATGATCATTCTCTCTTGCAAAAGGTATTTTGGGCTTTTGACTTGGAACAAATATTTGAATAAATGATAAAATATGCTTCAAATATCTTACACAATCCCAAGTAACAAAAGTCACTTTCTTTTGATCCTTAGAAGGACTGGTTGTCCTTAGGGCAATGTGTTTTCTTTACATTAAGACACACACACACACACACACACACACACACACACACACCCCACACAGTCTATAAGTATATAATTACTTTTGAGTGCTGTCCTCATTTTAATACGATTAAGATGCCTCAGCTGACCCAGGTAACACAAAATTAGCCATTTGATAACTTCCTATCTTATTTGGCACAACCTTTGCCATTTCCATGTTTCTACTGACAGAATATATCCAGCCATTGATTGAGCATTTATTTCTGCTTCTAGTCTACCTAGAACTCTCACATGTGTGCTTGATTTAATGCAAAGGTGTATGTATAACCTTTACAGAACAAGATCACAACAATTTCTCACTTATATTTTTCTTTATCAGCATTAATTGAAGACAAATCTTAAATGGGATGTTATAAAGACTGGTATATTTTACCCTGACTGCAGATGCAAAATTCTGCTATTATTTTGAAAGGCTTTCGTCAATTATCTTTCTTAAGAGTTTGTAGGGATGTGTCATCTATGAATAACTGTCATGGGGTGCTTATGTTCTTTGAAAAAAGAATCTTTGAGCTAAAATTCTGTAATTGCTAATGAAACTACTCTGTCACCTTAGGAATCTATTGACAATAGAACAGATATGGTTCTTAGTTTTTATGGTTAAATCCCACAAAGGTTTGGTCAACACCAGTGATTCATTGGAAGCAATAAGGAACTCTTCACAAATTTAAAACTAGAAATCATTTTCCATTTTGTATATTAGCAGAGCACAAACTTACCTAAATTCCTTTTAAGAGCTGATAATGTTAGGGGCGCCTGGGTGGCTTAGTCGGTTAGGCGTCCGATTTTCGCTTAGGTCATGGTCTTGCGGTTCGTGGGTTCGAGCCCCGCGTCGGGCTCTGTGCTGACTGCCAGCTCAGAGCCTGGAGCCTGTTTCAGTCTGTGACTCCCTCTCTCTCTGACCCTCCCCTGCTCACGCTATCTCTCTCTCTCTCTCCTAGAAATAAATAAAAAACATTTAAAAAAAAAAAAAAGAGCTGATAATGTTAATTGTGCTTTTCTCTGGATAATAAGATTAGAATTGATCTTTATTTTCATTTCTGTTCAATTATACTCCTTAACATTAATTTTAAGAGTTAATGTGTATTTCTACTCTATTCTGTGATATAAATAGGCAATATTAGGATTTATATTTATACTTAATATATAATTTATATGCTATAAATATAATCTTTGTGTAAACACAGTAACTGTCTGGCAAACTGATACTAGAAGGAATATATAAAGCTACTAATTGACTCAAATGTAGGTATAGAAATCTTATTGAGTCTTTTTCTTATTTTATTTTTATACAGCTCAGCCTATCTCTATACCCTCTAACAGAGAGAGATTATGAGTTGAAACACCTATTGTGCCCACATGGAGAAATTCTGAACTTCTTAAACAACTGGCAAATAATGTGTACAGCTTGGACTTTCTTTGAAAACAGAATGCTACATTAAAGGACAACAAATCTTCTGGCAATAACTCAAATTTAACAGGTTGCTGCAGCAAATCTATCTAAACAACCAGTGTGTGATCCCACAAGAGTATCAACAGTGCATTGTCCTGAGAATAAAAATGCTTATATTAAATCTGCCAATTTGCAGTGGGTTTTATGGAGGTATAATTTTCCATTTTAAATGTAAACTTCTCTGTACAAAAACACTTGAATAATTATGAAAATGTAAGTAATCCTTTGCAAAAAGTAATTATGGTGAAGGAGACTTTCCTTTGCCTTCAGTGTTTTATGAGTGTGTTTGGTTCCATAAGCAAACTAATTAAAATGTTGCAAGACACACTGAAATGCTGGCATTTTAGATGGAAAGCAGTTGTACTCCTGGCAAAGGCTGTTTCATGTTTCTAAGGAATTTTGAAATTGTAGTTATAATAAACTATTCAGTCAAGCAAACTGAAAACAAGAGCCAAAATCATGCTCTCAGCTTTGAGATCTGTAGCCACTTGCCACCACACAGCCGTGAATTTCCTAAGTATAAAGTGGGATGAAAAACACAGTTTTTGTTAGAAAACATTTGAAAGAGGGGGAGATTGAAAAAAACTGTAGTATTTATATAGCTAAAATAAGATAATATAATTTGGAAGTCATCTTATTGTTTTCGGTTATTTCCATAATTTAAAAATGATTAGCCAAATGTCTGGCAAATAATGTTACCACCACAAACAGGAATGCTCTAGCGTAACAGATAATAAGTTGAAGGACTGTATTATGGTGAAGGCTCAACAGTAGATACTGTACCAGAGAGTCTTGGATGTATAAGGCAGCTGCAGAACGATTATTAGGAGTACTGCATCCAACAGACTGCATTTGAAACTTGAAATGTCCATCTTCTTCACTTTGGCCAGTCATGCTTTGGGCAAGTTTACTGAGTTGCTACTTTTTAACAATCACAGAGGTAGGAAGGGGAGTTTCAGTAGTAAGGAGTCTAAAATAGTGTCTGTATGCATGGATTTTACAAATGCAGCCCTTCTAGAATGCAGTTTAGCATATTAGGGAGTTATGGGCTATGGGGTCAGATCACATGGGCTTAAATCCTGGCTTGTCCACTAATTATGTGTGACATTGGACAGGTTAATTTGTTTAGTTAACTACTTAGTTAATTAGTTGAGTATGCTCATCTGTGGAATAAGAATTATAATAGTCCTACCTCATGCAGTTGCTATGAAAATTAAATGAGTCAGCCTATGAACACATTATTCTTAGCACTCAGTATAGATTATTTGCTATTATCTTACTTCCACTCCAACACAGCGGTGCTATATATATTGCCTACTAGATAATAGCTAATTTTACATAAAGTAGATATACAGTAATAGTCAAAGATGAGAAAAAGCCTCTAGAAAGCATAGCTCTGGGCACTGAAGCCTTTACTATTTGTATGTAAAATAAAAGGATACACTAGGGCTATTACTCAAAGATGCTCCTGTCAAACATGACAGAAGGCATACAAATAACATCTGAGTGCAACAAGAGGCAGTAGGAGAACCATTTTTATGAAAGAGAAAAAAACCCAGAAGTTTAAAATTTTATCATCATCCATCACAGCTATCATTTATTCAGTGCTTACCCCTTCTGGATGCCAGGCAGTAAATAAACTCTTTAGATGTTTTCCCAATGAATCCTGAAAGCAATCTTGTAGAGCAAGTACTGTTATTTTACCCATATTGCAGGCGAAGAGGCTGAAGCTCAGATAACTTCATTAAGTTTTTCCAGTCTCTACAATGGCAATAAAGATATGACAAGAATCCCATCTCTGAGGCTACAGTGTACGTTATTATATTCTACTGCAATCCTTATGATATTATGAGCATATTTCCATGTCATTAAATGCTTTTCACAAACATGTTTTCCAAAGGCTTCAAGGTGTCCTAGTGTATGTCTGTGTTATTCTTTATTTGCCACTTTCTGTCCTGCCAAATATTTAAGTTGTTTCTAGTCCATTAGCTATTGTATATTATTTGCAATATAAATCTTCATGTATAAGTTTTTATATACATATTTGATTGGTTTCTTATTACAGATTCCAAGAAGCAGAGTAACTATGCTAAAGGATGTGACCATTTATAAAACCTTTAATACACTGTCTAATTACCCCACCAGGAATGTGATAGCAATTTGCTCTGTCTTCCATAATTTTAGAGGTTGCTCATTTCACTGAATCCTTGCCAATCCTGAATGTTAGCAATATATCTTTTCTAAAAGTTTCTTTTCAATGTGTCGGATTTTTAAGTCTCCTATTGATTTAATTTGTATTTTAATTTCCACTGGGGTGCTTGGAGAGAAAAGTATCACTTATTGAAAACAAAATGTGGACAATACTTTAACAGTCATTCATATTTATTCTATCATTATTCCTCGAGCTTTTTCCTTGCATCCAATCTTTGCATTTCCATTCATAGAATTTTCTAAAACTGCAAGGTCCAATTTATTGTCACAATATTTGTCATGTTTTCCCAACTTGTCTAGACAAAGTTTGTTACCTTCTCTGATCTATGCAAATGCCTTATGTTATAACTTACTCCATTATAGTGAAATTATGGTTTACTTCTCTCATCTCTTCTAGATTATGAGCTACTGAAGAACAGATCAACTCAAGACTTACTGGATCCCCAGGACCTAACAAAAGGTAAAAACTTCCTAAGCTGCACTGGCCACAAAAGCACACTGACTGAATTTTAATCAAATTTTCATTGTTTACATTAAACGTTTACTCAGCTTTAATCAATAAGATACTTAATTCCATGCTATAGGACAGTATAAAACCTGAATAAAGATGTGTAATGGAATTACCTTGTTCTAAAAGAACTTGTACTGTGAAAAAGAGAAAATCAGCCTTGCTGACTGGTTGGAGTTAAGGACTTAGAAATCATTGCAACGTCTCCTGTCTATCTTGCACTTACTATGTACACTTACAATAAACCAGGCTCTCTTTGCAGGACACTGTGTGTGTGTGTGTGTGTGTGTGTGTGCGCGCGCGCGCGCGCGCATGTTCCTGTGTCTATAATATCCTTTAATTATTAAACATTTATGTGACTTAGCTGCCATAGTCTTCATTTAACACACAAGAACACTATGTTGGAGATATTAATTAACAAATTTGAAGTCAAAAAGTAATGGTATGGGGCGCCTGGGTGGCTTAGTCGGTTAAGCGTCCGACTTTCGCTTAGGTCATGATCTCGCGGTTCGTGGGTTCGAGCCCCGCGTCGGGCTCTGTGCTGACTGCCAGCTCAGAGCCTGGAGCCTATTTCAGAGTCTGTATCTCCCTCTCTCTCTGACCCTTCCCTGCTCATGCTGTCTCTCTCTCTCCTAGAAATAAATAAAAAAAATAAAAAAAAAAAAGTAATGGTAGAACCATATTTGAATATTAGTAACATTGACTCCAGAGATGATGTGTCTGCTTTAATAACACAATGAAGTTAAAAAAAATTAGTGAGAATACAGATAGAAAACAGGAGGTCCAAGGATGTTGGTGATGTCTAATTTTTTCTCTTCATTTTGAAGAACATACTCACAAAATATCAAAATCAAACTGGTAATGTTAAATATTCTCATTTTATATGCTTAGATTGTATTAAAACTTCTTCATGTTACAGTCAGATATTGAAGGAAGAAGAAAAAAGCCACTCTGTCTTGTCTTAGGTATCTTTTCAGATGGATGCAACAATAGTTATCAAGTTAACTTCATGGCCATTGTTTGTCAGTGAAACTCTCAGAAAATATCTTTGCTACGTGGCATGCCCTTGGGTTTTTATTGATAAAAACAACAAAACCGCAAGGGAAATGCTACAGCTCCTTGAGCCTGACTGATGCGTGTGGCTGGATGTTTACGTTGTTTAAATAAAACACAGAATCAGTATGTTAAAAGCAGACAAGACTTAGGAGGTATGGTAAGGCCTTGTAGAAAAACGAAACCTAGGGAACCAAATCCACATCACTCTTATTGTCAAGGGGTATACAGTGCAAAAGAAATTCTCTTTCAAGAGGCATACATTGCAAAAGAAAGTTTCTGCTGTAATAAAATTGCATAAATGGATTCAAAAACTCTTCATAGTGTGCGTGTGAGAGTGCATGCAATGGAGCCCATTGGTAGGCTGTTTAAGCCTCTGCACTTCTAATGGTGGTTTTAAGTATCTAAAATATTAAAGTACAAATAATTACAAAGAAACCAATTACATTAAAATACCATTACCAAATTATTTTAAAAATGTGATATGGTCATATATGGTCTTGCTTATTAACACATTAGGTAACAGATTTCGCAGCAGGTTTCATAATGATTGTTAGTTCAAGGTGGTCATTAGTATACATAAATCAAGTTCACTGCAGCAACAACAGATTTCTATTATGTTTATTGGTGACAAATTCACAGGAATTGCCAAATGGTACTATGGTTTGTCGTCTACATTCATAATTGAAGGAACTACTATATTGACTCTAGAGAAAATATCAATAAATATAACTAAATATGTGATTTTTAAAATTTCTAGGGGCGCCTGGGTGGCTCAGTCAGTTAAGCGCCCGACTTCGGCTCAGGTCATGATCTCATGGTTTGTGGGTTCCAGCCCCGTGTTGGGCTCTGTGCTGACAGCTAACTCAGAGCCTGGAGAGTGCTTCAGATTCTGTGCCTCCCTCTCTCTCTGACCCTCCCTTGCTCTCGCTGTCTCTCTCTTTCAGAAATAAATTTAAAAAACATTAAAAAATTAAAAAAACAAATAAATTTCTAATCATACACATACATACCCCAAATAAGAGCAATAACATAAAGACAAAAAAACTATTAGAGTCTACCCACAGATCCCAAGTTATGAACTTCTATTTCATATGTTTCCACTTTAAAATACAATTTGCCATTTCCCCAAAAAGTTAAAATTCTGATCACTGGAAAGAGAGAAAAGCTGAGTGGGAAATTAACTTATGAAATGCAAACAAACATTACCACAAGAAAAAAAACATGTTTTCTATTTTTTGTATCTATATAAGATAATGGATGTTAACTCATTATGGCAATCATTTCATAAGATATGGAAGTCAAGTCATCATGCCCTGCAACTTAAACATAAATAGTGCTATATGTTAATTATATTTCAATAAAACTGAGAGAGAAGTAAGTCCAAACACATAGGCATACTTGTACATAAGGAAACTAAATGAACAATTATGGAAGTGAGATAGCTATCTAGATCAGTCAAATTTATTGATCTCAATGACTAGAAGTCCAAAGATTTAGTATTATTTTGTTGTCTTAAATTTTACAACACGTTGCTAAGAACATCATATTATTTTCTGTTTTTTTCTCTTACCTGCCAGAATCACATTCTTTGTCTTTTTCTCTATCTACTCTCCTTTTTATACTATTTCTTCTGCAGGAATAGTTACATTGAAAAACGTAATTGCATTAACAATAATCACGGTTTAAAAGAAATGTTACTCCTCTGACGGTGTTAATAAGAGACATAATTTAAATAAGACTGGCTTTATCTCTCAAGAAATAGAAATTTAGATTTGCAGTTTGGCAGCAAACCCTATTGTTATTGATGCACAGTGATGCTACAATCAAGGTCTTGGTTAATTACTGAACAGAGAGGCAATAAATTCATTATTTTCCCCATAAAGAAATGTGAATGAATCTGCCAATCCTCCTTACTTTTATGTTAAGTATAAACACTTACATTTTTAAGTTTCTTTTTTTTTCAAATTCTTATTTAAATTCTAGTTAGTTGACTTACAGTGTAACAAGGGTTTCAGAGTAGAACTTAGTGATTCATCACTTACATGTGAAACACCCAGTGCTCATCCCAACAAGTGCCCTCTTCAGTTAAGAACAGACACACTTAGGGGCACCTGGGTGGCTCAGTCGGTTAAGTGTCCAACATCAGCCCAGGTCATGATCTCACAGTTTGTGGGTTCGAGCCCCGTGTCAGGCTCTGTGCTGACAGCTAGCTCAGAGACTGGAGCCTGCTTCAGATGATGTGTCTCCCTCTCTCTGACCCTCCCCTGCTCACGCTGTCTCTCTCTCTCTCTCTCCTAGAAATAAAATATTAAAAAAAAAGAGAGAGAAATTACTTTTAAAAATTTGCCTAAGATAAATTCTGAACAAATTAATGGGCATACAAGGCTACGCTAAAGGCTAAAAACATCCTTGGGAAAGACTGTGTCAGTGAGCACCCACTCATTAAACTAATTGCTTAAGCTCTGAAAATGATATATTGTCATATACTATGAGTTTCAGCGACTGCAATTCAATATTAAACATTCTCCCCCTCTAATATTCCCCTGTCCCCTAACCACTTAAGGAATGGTCTTCTGTAAGTCACCCTCTGAAAATTTAACATAATGAAGGACCCATTTAGACAACTTTTAGAACACTAAGTGTGAAATTTCAAAATGCCACTATTTTACTGAAAATGTCCATTCCTTTGTTCCAGCAGCATTTGTAGGAAGAGGAGTGAGCGTTAGAGCAGTTAAAAGCAGAAACAGAAATATAAGAAAGGCCATTATTTTGAGATCTATCTCTATCTCTAATGACTGACTACTCACAGGTATTTAAAGTTTAAAAGCTTTTTTTCCATTCTTGAATATACCTTTTTGAGCTTTGACTGTAAATGCAAAGAGAAAGAATAGTACTTTTATGGATTTAATACAGCCTAAAAGACACCCCTTCTGGTTCTAATTTCACATGATGGTTTGGGTTTGGAGCATTCCTTAATTGTCAGATG